CAGCTTATTGACAGAAAGTGTCAATTTATTAATATCATAAATAACAATTTATTTGTTATGACATCCGCCTACTTTATTTTTACAAATTTTCGCAATTACCCCTTGAAATTGAAATTTGTCTCTTTATTAGTAGGATGCTCATACCAAGTTTCGTGTCTCTAGCATTCTCCATGTTAAAGAAAAAAATTAAAATGTGAATTTCAATCCCCTCCTTTAAGAGGGTATATCACAACAGGGGTGCAACTTTCATATAAGGTATTTTTACTTCAATCCCAAAGAAAAAAGTCCAAAGGCGTTAAATCTCATGATCTGAGCGGCGAACTTTGATTATCAAAATGGGAAATTACACAACCAGGAAATGACTCATACAGTAATTGAATTGTTTCTCGGGCTGTATGACATGTGGCACCGTCTTGTCGAAACCATATGTCGTCAATATCCATATTTTGCAATTTAGGCACAGAAAATTGGATTATCATGTCGCGATAGCGAGCACCATTAACTGTTATTATTGCCTGACTAGCCGCATTTTCGAAGAAGAATGATTCGACGATTCCTTCAGGCCAACATCCGCACCGTTGTGGATGCATTTGTTTCTCAACAATCACTCGTGGATTTTTTAAACCCCAAATTCGACAATTGATTAACAAAGCCGCCAAGATGAAAATGAGCCTCATCGCTTTGAAGATGATTTTGTTCGAGAAATCAGCATCCACTTTTTCTATAATCCATTCAACGAACTCTCTTCGCTCTGCGTGGTCAGTAGGCTTCAATTCTTGAGTCAATTGAACTTTGTAAGCATGACGTCTTTCGTATCGTATACGCTATAGAGATTTGAGAGCTTTTCGAAATGTCCAATTTTTGATCAAGGTGCCGAATTGATGTTCCTGGACTCTCAGCAACACTCTCACGAACTGCTTCGATGTTTTTTTTTGTTGAACGACTTATTAAAATACGACCAGAGTGTTTAAGATCACGAATTGATCCAGTATCCCTGAATTTTTCACATTGTTGTTGAAGTTAAATCACCATTCCTACCATATTTTGCACGAAAATCGCTAACTGTAGCTGACAAACCTTCATTATTTTTAAAATATTGCTCAACAACAAAAACGCGTTGTACTTTTGTGACGTTCCATTTTTAATAACCCTGAACTGTCAGTTGTCACGCTGTCTTTTTTTTTTTTCGTTGGCAACACTTTACCGCACAAATGGCGCAAAATTCAAATCTTGCGTGAATTTTGGGACACCCGATATATCTTTGTGCCCAATGTATAATTGTTTTCGTAACTTAGATACTAAAAAATTTATGGAATTCTCTGCAACGTATTTTTTGTTTAGAGAAAATACTATTAATTAATAAACAGTATTGGCGCCTACTTCTTTTACAATTATTTTTTCCTTCTAAACAAATTTTCATTACTATGAAAACCAAAAGAAATATGTATACCTAGCTACTCTCTTATCTCGGTAACATTTTTGGGTCTAAATATTTTGAGTTGCTACACACGGTTCTTATTAAAATTTATGAGGTACACTTAAATCGATATCATGTTTTATTCATGAGGCAGTATTATGGCGGTATAACAGGGAAAAACTGTATTTATACTCTTCTAATTTTGTGACGTTTCTAGTAGACCAATGCAACAGGAATAACAGAAATTTTAGGAAATAAAGCAAATTTACTTTCAGTGCTGTATTATTTTAGGAATTTCTATGTTGATATATTATATTATGCAATATGTTATTTTGACAATAACAAGAAAAATTTTGAAAGTATCACAGAAAAGGTAATGCTTGTACGCGGAGCGCAAATGCTTGCCTGATTTGTTTCAAGAAATGAAAGAATATTGGACATAAAGTGCAAAAACCAATACTCTTTACCAGAGATCACATGTACAAGTTTTTAAATAATTTTTCTTTTGAAGTCTATTTAAATATAAAAGTAGGAACGCTATTTGGAATAGCACGGGCATGCAGATGGGAAGAACTATGTAATATGAAAATAAACGAAATTGAAGATAAAGGTGCATTTATAATAGTAAATATTCCCGATAATAAAACGCATATATCACGAACGTTTGCAATAACAATTCAAGGAAACGAGAGAGTTAATTATTTGGAATTTTATAAAAAATATCTAGTACTACGATCAATACAGGTATTTTTGTATAATCCCACGAAAAACGTATTACTCTTATTACAGTAAAATGTTAAAATGTTCTATTCAATTCTACAATTTAATACTATATATGTGTTTATAATAGAAATTAGTATATATTGTGAAAATAGTTATTAAAACTGTTTTACCATAATGTTTTATAGAAAATTTTCAAAAAGTATTGAGATAGATCTGACCTTGTCATGCCCAGTAATTGTTCTTTTATGCTTTTGTTATATTAAATTAGCTAGCTTTAGTTCTGTTACATATACAGACGTTTGTGTTGTTCTTGGTATCTATCTTGGTTGTGAATAACTGTACAAATCTAACAACGATAAATGAATTTGCTTGAAAAACTGAAGATATTAATAAAATGTTAAAATTTATTGACATTTGTTTTCTTTAAAAATATTATTCAATGTAAAGATATAAAAAAATGTAGTTTATAATCAACTTTAACAGTGTTTTCCAAATTTATTTGTTGACTGTACTTAAATACTGTGTGCGTTGGATTTCAAGAATGTAGGTACTATTTCTTTTTTATACTTATCTGTGTTGGTTTTGTAACCTGAATTAACGTAATCATTCTTTAAATAAAGTTTAAGTGAATAATAACGTGTGTGATCTTTTTTCACTAACCTAAGACAATATCTAGAAAATTTGTAAACATTTATAAAAGAATTTTAAAAAGTTTCAACAACAATATAGCAGCAAAAGCTACAATGGAAAGACATTGCTATGAAAATTCACACAATTGTTTCTAAAACCGCGACGGAAAGAAATTGTCTGAAAATTCTATGTTAACATTGTGATTATTTTTACATTTGTGAAATTATTATCAACAAATTCTAGATTATCTCAAATTTTCAAACAATATTGTGTGATAGTTTGATGCTATCATGATTTTAGGAATAACTGTTTTCTGCCTGTATAATATACAGAAATTTTCGTATAAAAATAGAAATATTATTTATTATTATATTTATTTAATTATTTGTATTCTTTGATAAAATAGGAGGTTAACTAAATTGTAATAAAGTTCAATACACCACTTTAAATACAAGTTATTAGTAATGTGTGACACAAATTGTAGTTTCTTATAAATTATAACTAGAATTGTATAAATTTGTAACATTTTTTCACGTGAATTCAGAGAAACGTCAATTTACTTTATGTACTGTAATAGCTGCAAGTTCGCAGCTGAAACCAATATTATATAAAAAATAATTTAAATTGTTTTAAATTTTGAGTTTGATTATTAGTCACACATTGTCTATATATGAAGCAATAAGCTCGGAAGAGAAAAAAAATAGTTGTCATAATCACCAGTTCAGCAGCTCTACTATTATCTTTACTGATTACTGATTACTGATATTGATCAAATAAAAACTAACTTATCAAACATCTATGTGGGAAGGTGAATAAATAATAATAAAACAAACATTGTGTTATACAGGGTGTAAGAAGTATGTCTGACATAACTTCAGCATAAGATAGAGTATAATAAACATTTAGTAAATTTCACGACAATTGTTTTCCAGTTTTTAAATAAATAAAATAAAATGTATCGATTTTGTAGTACGAAGATAGTGTTGTGCTTAAATTTTAGCTCGAGTATTAGTAATTATGAATTTCTTAAAACGGGAACTTAACTTTTAATCAAATTATGAATTTGAAAAATATGTAAGTACCCAAAGATTCACGTCGTCCAAATAATAATAGGTATTAAAAATAATTTAGGTACTTACCAAAAAGCAAAATTCAGTAATTTTTAAAGTACAAAACATATGCTCAAAATGTCCACCACCATGTTCGATGCAAGTATGACACCTTCGAATCCAATTTTCGCGCATTTGCTGGAAAATTATCACGTATGGTAAATATTGAAAAAAAGCAAGGAGAAGCACTTCAAGAAAAGGAAATAATGGTACGTAAAAAACACTCCGTCACGGTCGAATTCCAGATACCAATCGACATCGAATTTTAAATTTATTACCACGCTAATTATTTTTTAGAATTAAGCATAAGGAAGTTGAAAAAAGTGAAAAACATTATATTTTATGCTATGCACGCAGTTATGTCAATATTCCTTAATTAATCGAACTTTTGTACAATCAAGATGGAGATTTTGATAATTTTTTTCTCGGAAATGGTTGAGTTTAGGACCCGTCATTTAAGGTTTTTTTTTTAATTTTAATTCTATCGTCTATTAAAATTAAGCTAGTCAAACTTCTAACACCTTGTATAAAAATGTAGAAACAAGTGAATTATAACAAAAGAAATATTATATTTCACTTCTACTCAAATCTTAAAGTCTTCAACTTACCAGTCCAGTTTTACAAACCGTCTACATATGTAAATGTATTATTTCCTCATTATTTTCTTTACTTTGCTGCAAATGTTTTGTAATGTAAAATCGAGTGTAAAATCATGAAAACTAAAACTGATAAATTTTCTTCGAACTGATATGACTTGAAAATAAAGTGAACTTAAATGTGCTCCGAATCATTCTCAGGACAGATCATCTATGCTGATCTATAATTTAAATAAATAGTAAGACAATTTCTATTAAATACTTTCATTTCAATGTTGTTACTATTAAATGGTCATATTGTACGGCAAATTGCTTTCCAGAGACAAACATCTCTTTGAATTTACGTACCAACCAACAATTATCTGGAGTATTGTAAATTATGGCTATTACTTCCGGAAATGCGGTCCATAATTAAAACGAACACCATTCATTAGGTACAAATAGAAAAGCACCTATCAGGTAATGACTTTTCATTACACAGCTAATTGGATGTGGCTACGTTCACGGAAAGAGAATATCACTCACCTATGCTTGTGACACTTCCGGAATCCCAGTAATCCAGATGGCTGGTGGAAAAATTTCTAGCTTCTTGTGATATTGGATTATTTGGTGATGTATTGACAACTGATGGTGACTTCGCGTTAGACTGAAGCCTGGTGTTGGACAGAGACAGAGACTGAAACAAATGACAATTAAATATTTGCTCTCTACCCCTTAGGAAATATTCACGAATTTTGTAAATATTCTATTCTATTCCTAATTAAATGCAAAGGTATATACAGGTTGTTACAAATTCGCTTCTCACTACAGGGATCCGGAAACGGTAAGAGATACGAACTAGCTTAAATGGGGGCAAAGTTGCGTAATCAGGGGACCAACATTATGTTTCTAAAAAATCATGATTAGTTTTCGAAATATTTGAAAAAAAATTTCCAAAATTGAAATTTTGGAAATTGGTTTTTGTTTCATTTCAGCCTTGTTTGAGGTGATATTGAAAAAAGAACATTTTCTCGTGGCTACTTTTTGTCCTCTATCGAATGGCATAATCAATTTTTATATATAACGTTTCGTTTTTTCAGGACCATTATCAACTTCATTTTTTTAAATACGGCCCTATAAATTTTGTTATATTTTTTGCAAGACTTCTTGACCTCCAATACTACTGCCTCAGCCCGAACCAGACTCACAATCAGACATTTTGTTTCGAAAAATTCATCTTCAATGTATTCCTTCCAAATTTATCTACATTTTTTATTTAGATTTCTATGTTTATTGAATAATCGTACACTCTAAGTGTAGTTAGACCACAGAGTACCCAATACAGAGGCGAAAGCTTTGGCGGCACCTTTGAAGTTGGAGGGGTCATTATCTGTGACCTTGTATACCAGTTATGTCTACACTGAGAGAACTAGGTATTTTGATTTTTAAGTTTTAGTGTACACCGTAAAAACAGTACATTTAAAACTGGAATATTAAATCATTGTCTGTAACTGTTTCTTTGAGGCGTCGATGTAGATTGTATATTTTTTAGGTATTTCGGCACTAAAAATAAATAAAGATAAACAAAAATTAAAATCTCTTGCTATAAAGATCAGTGAGAGGTTGTTTGTTTGAAAATTAAACTTGACTAACCAATAAACTATGTAAACCTACAAAAAAAACATAAAATCATTTGATGTTTAGATTTAGAAGCCTTTATCTTGAACTGGATTGGAACCTTTAGTGAAATGAAAAACTAAGAAGGACTTCTTCCACTGCACTTCTCTTAACGTACATTTCACTAACCAAGTTAGAAACATCAGAAGGTGATTAAGTCTAATCATATTCTGATGGTGCTAACTTGGTTAGAGAACCGTACGTCAAGAGAAGTGCAGCGCTTTGATGATAGTGGAAGAACTTCTCCGTGGTTTCTTAGAACCCTTTAGAAAGTACTTAATTTGAATACTATGTTTGTTATTTCATTGGTAACTTAAACCTAGGGAAAATCATTTTAGGAACGAAGCCGAGGACAAGGAAAAATAAAAATTCTAAAGTAAAAATAATTTTTATTACTTATTTACTGATGAAATATGTTAAATACTTAGGTATAAATAATAAATCTTACAGCAATGACGGCAAAAAACAGACCCAACCAATGTAAATATATACATATGCTATATACATATATATTACGTAATAATTACAAATTTTATGTGCTTTTAAGTAAATTCAATAAACATAAAACATTATCTAACGAGCAAAAAATAAAGAACATTTTTCACGAGTATGAAAGATTGTAACATTTTAATATACCTAGGCATAAAAAAATGTTTTATTATATGATTCTACACATGAGACAGTATAGTTATTTTCCTATTTTTTTTTGGTTTTCTTTTCTCATTTCTTAAATCCCTACTGGAAAATTTTAATAAATAAAATATTCTTAATCTAATAAACAATTTTATGACATATGTTATAAGAAAATGAGAACAAGGATGGATAAATTCTACTTTACTCATCTCTTTGAAATATGAATGAGATATTCCATTGCCAAGGCATAAATTGTTAAATTCTGAGATAAATATTTGTTCTAATGTATATACATAATTAACAAAACTTTCACTGGGAGTCTTAAGGCTGCCATAAATACTTTTTTTACTGTCAAAAGCTTTGAATCGTGTTAATAATTTGTTAATATCTAACTCGTTTGCTTCCACAGAAAACTTGTGACATATCTCGCAAGTGTGAATATTCAGAGCTTTTTTAATTAAATATCCGCAAACATAATTGAATGCATTTTGCATTATCAAATTTTCATTTCTGTAATCGTAATCAGGAAGGGCTATTGCTTTATTCTCTTCTATTTCATCCTCATTTTTGTGTGTGATAATAGTGTTGGTTGAATTCAATTTTGTCAACAACTGATCGAAATCTTCATTGCAGTTCATGGTGCTTGTATGTAGAAAACTTTGGCAAGAAAGTTTTTTGAAGGCTCTTTCAAACTGAATTGGTGTTGGATTTATCGAATTACCCCCTGCTGTCTGATACCACCAAAAAAGTTTTCAATAGCATCTTGGTTCAGTCTCCTCGTTTTTAAATATTTAAAATCAGCAGCTTTCAATTTTTCCCAAATTTTTATAATACCAATAATAGTGATTATCCAAGAAGTTCTGAATTTCGATTTTGTAGTAACATCAGCCCCATTGAGATCTAAGATCTGTAATTTATTAAGAAAATCAATCATTTCCTTAAGGTGCTCGATTTGATAATCGGATCCGTCAAATACATTTTTATATCTATTTGGGTGATTCGTCTCCGATGAATTTAGTAAGTCGAAGAGCTTGTCAAATTTTTCTATAACCTCAATTGTTGCCATAGCATCAGCAGGAAGTGCACCTAAAGTGACGTATGTATTCATCGCACTTGCTACAGTGTTACTTAACGCTGGAGCAGCATATTTAACTCTCATTTTTTCAAATTTACTGGGATTTATGTGGGAATCAGTAAGTTTGGGTGCACATCTATAATTTTGATTTTTATCTCGTTGATAAAACATATCGACATATTTCCATGAGGTTTTTTTCTCTTCAAAATAGAAACTATTTTTTATTAGATTATTTCGGGTTGCTTTCATTAAATGACATGTATCAAAGAGATAAATAATATTTTTATCACCTACTACAAATTCTGGATTCATTGGGGTAACACGCAGACTATTAGCCAGTTGGATAAAATTGGAACCCATATCACTCACAAGAGCATCAACATTTAACCTGATTGAGTATAATTTCTCTATACACTGTTTAATAACGGTACGCAGTTCTTCTGCTTTAAATTGTGTGTTTACAAAAAAATAAGCAATTGGTTGTTTCCAATTCGAGTAAACCCCCCTTATCATAAGAACACAAGCATTTTGGGCAATTAAAAATTCTTTTTTGCCACTGCCGACATCATGAAGTCCCACAATTTCATCTCTACCAGTGTGATAGTACAGGTTACCTTTCAGTGACATCTCATCGATGCATAAGATGCAATGTTTTTCCTGCTCTAACATAGATTGTGAACGAATCTCAAGATTTTTTAGTATTGCATCATTGTTGAAACCAGGTTTGCATATAAGTTTTTCAGTCATATGTTCGAGGCATCTTTTTGTTGGAAGGCATAGAAAATTACTCATAAATGAATATGTTTTGGGTCCCAAGAAGTAGAGAGTCAATGCAAACTGTTTCTGTTCTGTAGAATATCTTCTTGCCAGAGGGTTTTTGTTTTTTAATTTTGCCTGTGCTTTTACAATCGCAGCCAAGCGAGGATTCAAAAATGTATCACACATTTTGTAGAAATCTTCAAGAGTCCAATTGGTTTCCTGTTTTTGTATTGATGTCTCCAATTTTCGTTTCCTCAAGGCTTTAATTTTTTCTCGCAGTTTCTTCTTTCGTGGCGTATCAGAACTTAGAACTGCAGATGTTTGTGTGGATATTGAAGGAGAGATATTATTAGGTGTTGAGGATCTATCAGAAATCAAATTCTCCGGATGTTCAGGTACAATTGGTTCTGTAAATGATATTTATAATTAATATTTCCAAAATTGCAAAGTATTATTAAGAATAAAGAAAGAAACATACAAGATATAAACAAAAATAAATATTATTAAAAACCTCCCGATGTGGAAGTCAAACATACCTGTTTTATGACCCAATGATTGTGGGGTAGTAACAGCTTTAGTTTCTAGTTCTTTAGGAGAGACAATGGTAATATCTGAAAATAACAAGTACCTGCATTAATAATTATAATTTTTTTTCAAAGGTATTGCAGTGGAACCTCAATTATGTCACTCGATTATTCGAAATTATTAGAGATATGCATATCAAATTAATTAGTAGTATATAGAAAGAACATAAAATTTAATTTTATTCTTATTATCCATCTTTTTCCTATATCCGTGACATTTTGGTCACACCTGAACAATATTAGAGGATTCACTGTATGAGGTACCCGATTAACAAATTATCTTATAAAATAATTACATCTATTAACCACAATATTGAACCAAGTTTTTACAATATCGGGGGAAAACTTTTAATTTCCTATTGCAGTAAGATTCGTTTTACAAATTTTAATTAAATACTTACCAGAAAGAATTACAACTTTTCTAGGTGGTTTATCAGAATCGGTATTAGTATCAATAATACGAGTAGGCAAATTTCTTACACTATCGGGAAAAATAATAGGAACTGCATGGTCAAATAAATGTTTGCGGGTTCCACCACCTTGTGAGATATATTTTTGTTCAAAATGGTTCTCACATAATTTGTAATTTTTATATAAAACATCCACACTTTTGCCTAGCAAATCCTCTCGGTTACAAGCTTTCAGCCATGATTCAGCTCTGAAAATAAAAAATAAGTTCATTCCAATGTACCACATACGATAAGCTTCATTTGGAAGACTGAAAATCTGCAGTTCCCATAAACAGTTATTACTCAAATCATGCTTAAATCTACTAAATTTCACACTAAACTAAGCTACTTTATTTACGTACCTCACAGAATCTTTTGGAAAAGAGAATAAGGATGCATTTCCGCCCGTTTTGGATGAACATCCTCGAAAAGCACAAACAGTTCCTCCTTTACGAGACATCTTTATCAATCCTGATAAGCAACACTTTGTTTATAACCACTAATTATGCACAAAACCACA